TTCACGCATGATTTGTGGGTAAGAAAAATTATGAGATAGAATATAGGAACTTTCTTTACGTTACTGTAGGATTTTTTTTTTTTAGGTAGCTATATTTTTTTTGTACCGTAGAGGTGAAAGTTATATCAACAGATTAGTGAAGAAAACATTATTAAAGCTTCTATAGAGAGTTTTATTGTATTTAATCAGAAAGTGAGAGAATTGTTTGTTGTGACACGAATCCAGACGCTTATATTCTGTATATATACAAGAAATGATAAAATGTACTGTTGTATCATGTTATTTGTATGGTGTTGTATCGTGCTATTTGTTCATTATTGTTTCCTATTAAATAAAAGGTGTTATATCATGTTAAATGTAGTGTGTCCATGGTTGATGTACAGGGTTGTATCATGATAGGATGATAGATATACAATATTATATCGTGTTTTGTGTGTGTTGTTGTATCATGTTATATGTACTGCACGCGTCATGTGTCGTGTGTAGGGAGAGGCGTGATGGGTAGTACCAGGCTATGACACATTCTCCAACCATAGGATTAATGTTGACACGATCCTGTTACGCGCCGGTTCATGTAGCATCATTCCCTGCCACGTCATGCTACCCCCATCATGGTACTCCTTCATTCACCAGGTGTCCCACCGTGGCCCCTTTCACTCACCAGCTCCCCCATCATGGTAGCCCTTCACTCACCAGCTGCCCCAATATGGTACCCCTTCACTCACCAGCTGCCCCATCGTGGTACCCCCTCACTCACCAGCTGCCCCATCGTGGTACCCCTTCACTCACCAGCTGCCCCATCGTGGTACCCCCTCACTCACCAGCTGCTTCATCGTGGTACCCCTTTACTCACCAGCTGCCCCATCTTGGTGCCCCTTTCACCACCAGCTGCCCCCATCGTGGGTACCCTTCACCACCAGCTGCCCCATCGTGGTACCCTCACCACCAGCTGCCCCGATCGTGGTACCCTTCACCACCAGCTGCCCCATCGTGGTACCCCCTGATCACCACTAGCTGCCCCATCGTGGCACCCCTTCACTCACCAGTTGCCCCATCGTGGTACCCTCACTCACCAGTTGCCCCATCGTGGCACTCTCACCACCAGCTGCCCCATCGTGGTACCCTTTACTCACCAGCTGCCCCATCGTGGTACCCCCTCACTCACCAGCTGCCCCAATATGGTACCACCACCAGCTGCCCCATCGTGGTACTCCCTCACCTCACCAGCTGCCCCACCGTGGCACCCTCACTCACCAGCTGCCCCAATATGGTACCCCTCTCACCAGTTGCCCCATCGTGGTACCCCCTTCACCCCCAGCTGCCTAACATGGTACCCCTCACCACCAGCTGCCCCACTGTGGTACCTCACTCACCAGCTGCTCCCACCGTGGTACCTCACTACCTTTCAGCTGCCCCAATATTGTAATTCTCTCTCACCAGTTGGCTCCCCACCGTGGTACTCCCACACTCACCAGCTCGCCCCCATCGTGGTACCTCACTCACCAGCTGCCCCATCGTGGTAATTCTCACCACCAGCTGCCCCAATATGGTGGTACCCCCTCACCAGGCTGCCCCATCGTGGTACCCTTCACCCCCAGTTGGGCCCCAATATGGTACCCTCACTCACCAGTTGCCCCACCGTGGCACCCCTACACCACCAGCTGCCCCCCATCGTGGTACTTCACCACCAGCTGCCCCATCGTGGTACCCCTTCACTCCTGAAGCTGCCCCAATATGGTACCTCACCATCAGTTGCCCCAATATGGTACCCTCACTCACCAGCTGCCCCACTGTAGCCCTACACTCACCAGCTGCCCCCATCGTGGTACCCTTCACTCCAGCTGCCCCAATGTGGCACCCCTTCACTCCCCAGCTGCCCCAATATGGTACCCCTTCACTCACCAGCTGCCCCACCGTGGTACCCCCTCACTCACCAGCTGCCCCACCGTGGTACACCCCCCACTCACCACCTACTCCTTCGTGCCTCCCTTCCACTTCACCAACTCGAGCTTCCGTAACGATAAGACTTTTTCCTATCAAGTGTCTGACTCAAGAAGAATGGCGACTCTTTCTTATTAACATATTAAATGAACGTTAATAAGCAAGTTAGATTAATAATTACAGTGGAAAAGTGATTAGCTATATGAATTGCCATCATTATTAATAGTAATTCATGTAAGAAAGGTAAAGTAATTGTAGGCGCGTCAGGTAATATTGGTAATTATACTATGATTGATAGGTAATTGATAGGTTGTTAGTGTGATATAGGTAATTAGGTTAATAAGTTGATAGGGTGGTCATAGGCTTGGTAAACTAATATAATAAGTTTTTAAATTGAATACTTTTGTAGTGGAATATTATAATCAGTATTACATAAAATCTATGTAGAATAAAAAAAATGTAGAAACACGATAGATCTAAAAAAGTATTTCTGGCTGCAAAACCCGAGACCATAATTTAAAAAAGACAGAATATAAACCTGTTCAGTTCATCCTGTATCTGAACAACAACAAAAAACCCGGTGTGGTTGGTTGCTTTCGTGTGTAATGTGATAGGATGAGTATCAAAGTTTTTTGTTAAACTAGTAGAAGTAAGCAGGGTGATCACATACGTATCCGGGATGGGGCATGATAAGAGTTGACGGTGTTTATATAAGGAAAGTGTGTAAATACAGGTATGTGTTTGTGTGTGTTTGTTTATGTGTGTGTGTGTGTGTGTGTGTGTGTGTGAGTGTGTGTGTGTGAAGTCAAACTTTTTTAGTCTTGACATGATGTGGTGTATTACATTACCTGGCAGGAGGGTGAAGGTGCTCTACGCCAGAAACGCTAATGTGTTTTCATTTCACCGAGCGGAGGAAGGAAGGTGAGGAGGACGCTACCCCCCTACCGTCCTCCCCCCCCACACACACTACACCTCCCCCTACCCTCCCCGCACACACTACACCTCCCCCCACACCCACACACCCCTCCCCCCCTCCCACACACACCACACCCTCCCCCCCTCCTCCCCACACACCACACCCCCACCTACCCCACACACACCACACACCTCCCCTACCCTCCCCACACACACTGCCTCCCCTACCACTCACCCTACACCTACCCTCCCCCACACAATACACCTCCCTACCACTCCCCCACACACCACACCTCCCTATCCCCCACACACACCTCCCCTACCCTCCCCACACACACCACCTCCCCTACCCCTCTCCCACACCCCTCCCCACACACCTACCCCACCCTACCCCTCCCCACACACTACACCTCCCCTACCCTCCCCACACACTACACCTCCCCACCCCCACACACACCTACACCTCCCCTACCCTCCCCCCACACACACACATCAAACCTCCCTACCCCCCACACACTACACCTCCCTACCCCCACACACACTACACCTCCCCCTACCTCCTGCACACACTACACCTCCCTACCCCACACACACTACACCTCCCCTTTACCCCCTACACACACTACACCTCCCCTACCCCTCCCACACACACCACAGCCCCCAGCCCCCACACACACCACCCCACCCCCACCCCTCCCCACACACTACACCTCACCCTACCCTCCCCACACACACTACACTCCCTACCCCTCCCCACACTACACCTCCCCCCTACCCTCCACACACCCCCCACCCCACACCACACACACACCCCACCACCCCACACACCACACCACACCACCACACACACCCTCCCCACACACCCACACACACACACCACACTCCCCTACCCTCCCCCACACACACACCTCCCCTACCCTCCCCACACACACCACACCCCCACCTCCCACACACCACACCACACCACACACACACACACCACACCCCCCCCCCCCACACACCCACACCCCCCTCCCCACACCCACACACACCACACACACCCCCACACACCCCCACACACACACCACACACACACACACCCCACCCACACACCACACACACCACACACACCCCCACCCCCCACACACCACCCCCCCCACCCCCCACACACACACACACACACACCACACACACCTACACTAACCCCACACACACACCCTCCCCACACACACCTCCCACCACCCTCCCACACCACCACTCCCCACACCCCCCACACACACCCCACACACCCTCCACACCCCCACACACACACACACACACCTCCCTCACACACACACACACACCCCCACACACACACACACACCACACCCCCCACACACACACACACCACCACACACACACACACACCACACCACACACACACACCTCCACCTCCCACACCCCCACACACACACACCCTACCCCACACACACACACACCACACCCCCCACCCTCCCCACACACACACACCACACACACACTACACCCCCCACACACACACACTACACCTACACCTCCCCCTACCCTCCCCACACACACTACACCTCCCCCTATCCCCCCACACACACACACTACACCTACTGCACCATGACTCAGACTAACACCCAACCCAATCTTCATCACCATATTGACTTACAGTGTTGTCACCAAGTTTGATAACCATGTTGACCAATAGCGTCACCAATTTGATCACGCCCCTGCCGACGTCATCATTAGGTATCTTTACTTCTTAACCTACGTCATCAATTAGTTTATTTACGGGGCCAAGCATACATAATATCCACGTAGTAATGTATGTTAAGCCCAACGACATCCAAATAAACAGTCAAATGAAAATGTATTATAAGGCGTAAATACAAAGTTCAGATACTCTAATATACAAAAATACAAGAATATAAATATTAAGAGTATAATGAGTGGAATTTTTACATCGTCGGTAAAGGAAGTATTGTTGACTGAGGTGAACCGCGTGAGGTCGGTGGACGGTGTGGCCTGCCTGCACATAACTAGAGAGAGAGAGGGAGAGAGAGAAAGAGAGAGGAAAATCTAGGGAGGAGGGTAAAGAAAGCAATACTTGCAAGGCTAAGGGGGGGGGGGTAAAGAGAAAGGCAGGTATATAAGGCGGCGGACGACCTGAGACTACATGCACACTGCACCATGAAGCTGCTGGTGAGTGGCACACGCTTTCTGCCGGGTGTGAGGTGCCGTCCATTCCTTCACCTTGTTACTAATGCGCTACCTGGGCCGCATATCCGGGAGTTCATGACGTACTCCACGATTACTCCGGTGTACATCTCGTCTGGGTACACCTTGCTTGTGTGGCTGGAAGACTCTATCTGTGTTATACGCCTACCGCTGGTCACTGTAACCTTGGCTCACCGGCAACTCTACTCAAGAATACAGAATTGCTTAAAAGATTTGCCTTTTCTTAAATTAATGTCTTTGTTCTTTTAGCAGTACATAATTTAATCAGTTTTTATCGGTGATTCTACTTAATACGTGTGCCACTGGGTGTTAGGAGGGCTATAACTGATCTCGTTACCATGATAGAAATTTGTACTTTTTTTTTACAAGTTATTAATATTCTTTTTTGTACTAAAGTCATGATCCAGCTGTATCCCGTGGCGCCGTAACATTTTTAATAGAATTTGAAGAATGTAAATTTTATAATATGTAAACTTTTTTTCAGCGATTTTTTAAAATTTGCGTCTAGTAAATACAAGAAGAGGACTCAAGCTTCGTTGTCTCACTTAGTCACCATATTCAAGGTGACCTACTCCCTCAATATTCACTGTTAATACGTTTAGTTGTCGGAAGTGCCTCCCTCCTCATCCCTCAGTACCACACAAAACTCAGGAGTCAGTGTGAGTAGCGGGGAGCAGAACCTCGTCCACCTGCCCGCCACATTTTGCGGTGTCATTGTGTTTGTGTATCCCTTTTCTTGTCTCGGGTATATAGATGAAGAGCCGCATCTCAGTATTTACTTATTCCACGCTTAAGTCCTCCCCAGTAGCTTCATTTTCTGAAGTAATGCCTGATATTTCTAATAGTTCCTTCCCATGAGAAGAAAGTCGTATAAGTCAGCACGAGTGTTAACCAAACACCTTAAACACTCGAACAGTGTAAACATTGTTTTATTTTATCTGGGACGAATGCCACTCCCGTTTGTCTATTTGTTTTTAAACTAACTTATTCAGTTTATATATATGCACACATTATCAGGTTAGAATATAATACAGTATGCAAGCACATAGCAACACAGATTCTGGTGTGAAGTCAGCATGTGTCTGTCAAATGGATTAGTAACATTGTTTTGCTTAATAACGAAATATTTTTAAAAGTCCCCGTCAACTTTTACTGAATATTACACTTCTATCAACACTTCCATTACACGTCTTTGATGTTTTTCAGATACTTGTGTCCCTGCTGGCGGCGGCCTCACACGGCGCCCCTCAAGGCTACAGCTTTTCACAGCCCTCTGGTCCAGCTTTCTCTGCTGGTTCACAATTTTCCAGTAGTTCCTCTTCGGAAGGTTTTGGGCTCGGAGGAGGCTCATCTTTTGGCTCTGGATTTTCTTCAGGCAGTTCAGGATTCTCCTCAGGCGGCTCTGGCTCCTATGGGGGCTCTGGAGGCAGCTGTGGTCCTGGACAGATTCGTCATGTGGACGGCAGCTGTGTGACTCCTCAGGTCACTCGTAATCTGTACGTGTACAGTGCTCCTCCAATACACCCAATTGTTGGCCCACAACCATACGTTCCTCCACCAAGAGTTGAACACAATATATTATTCATTCGCACCCCAGAGAACGGTCCAGGCCAGGAACCCATTGTCGTGCCACCACCACAAACAAGGAACGTCGTGTACGTCCTCAACAAGCGACCTGAACACGGCCAACAGGTCATCCACGTACCAACACCAGAACAAGAGACTCCTGAGGTGTTCTTCATCAACTACAGTGAAGGAGACAACCCAACTCTGCCCACCGGCGAGGACCTCCAGTCTGCCCTCAACTCTGCTGTCCAGGGTGGCGGCGATGTCATTGGTAGCACTGGAGGCGGCATTGGCGGCGGTGGTGGTGGCTTTGGCGGTGGCAGCATCGGCGGCGGCAGCATTGGCGGCGGTGGTGGCTTTGGCGGTGGCAGCATCGGCGGCGGTGGTGGCGGCTATGGTGGTGTCAGCATCGGCGGCGGTGGTGGCGGTATCAGTGTTTCAACGCTGTCACCACTGTATAGACAGCCTTAACCAGCCGCTTCAAAGGAATGTTAATTTTTTTAACCTGTTTCGTTTTGTTATGTTATAGTCTTTTTTTTTATCAGTTTTCCCATAGAACTAATGTTTGTATACATAAATCAACCTCTCAAGGAACATATTTGAGACGCTTGTTTTATGGACACAAACAAGGAGTAGTACAGTGACTAACCCAAACTCAGGTTCATATAAGGTGATGAAAATTGCCTCAGTCCTTGTCTATGTCCCTGTGGATTTACTGACAAAGAGAAACACATTGTATGATCTTTCTATGTTTATAAGAAATATATTTTGGTATGTAATATCTTATTTAATTTCCCTCTGGTATTATTTTTAGTCAACTGAAATATTAAGACTTATCTTCTGTTTTGTTGTTGTCTCCCTAAATTTTATTTGTCTCTTCCTGAAAATAAACAAATAAGAGAACCAAATATATTATAATAGTAAACCATGAGACAGCCCGTGATGCCTTTGTAGCATGATCTGATTTTACACTGACACTAAAGAAATTATAAGGAAGTAAAGCAAAATAGATACACGTACAGTTGCGTACAAAATTTGATGGTGTTGGTAGCTGCCACACCTGTATATTATTATCGTTATATTAAGCCTTGAAATATAAAGGATTAGTTTGCTATATAGGGATGTTTTTTGTTTGTATTATTAGAGTGCTATGCGAATTTCTGTGTATATGGTAAATTTAACATAGCCAAACTTCACCAAATTAGGTATGGTTAGGGTAGGTGAATATTGATGATATTCGCTCGTAGTATGTATTACAGTATGTTAATAATGGTTGCCACTCGTGGTCGACACCTTGACGTTATTTTGTTTAAAGTGTAGAAGCTGTCGCCAACACAGCAACAGCACCCAGAGTTAATGTATCACCCAGTGTCAAGGATAGTCCAACTGCACTGGCTAACCATTACTCAGGAATACGATCCGCCAATCGATTAACATCTAAGTTCCCAGTTACTGCTGGGTAGACATAAAGAAACTTGTCCGTAGTTTCACCATACCGGGGATCGAAACCGGGATTACTCGCTTGCTCGGCGATAATGCGGACCGCTACTCCACTGGTCGTATTGTCTCACGTTTAACAACACAATCGACCATACATACACACCAGTTCAAAATTTAGAAAGGAAAGTAGAAATATGCAGTATTGAAATTATCGCTATGTCGTACTTATTCTTAACACAGAGGACACCACTAAGATTATAGATTACGTTATGTTTGTGGCGTCTAGAGTGACAGTAGACGTGCTTTACACCCTCGCCCTCCCTCGGTAACTTAACATCGGAGAGACCGTCGGTGTTTAACCTGAAATGACAGATGAGAGAAGCACGAAGGAGCTGCCGTGCCACACTGGCCTCTCATCACCTCCAACTTACCGTCAGGGTGGAGGATTCCTACATCAAGCCGTGTTGCTCATGGACTGCAAATATTCATCTTTGTTTTTTATAGCATGGTTTAGCGGCTGTGGGCACGTAATATGTGTAATGTTCGTGAGTCTGTGTGTGTATGTAAAGCTTATCAACATTCTGTTTACAATTCTAACTATTAACCCTTTGAAGACGGACTTACTCAAGGGGTCAAGATATTGTAACTCAAGGGGTTAAGACATCGTACTCAAGAGGTAGAGAAATCGCAATTTGCAATCAAGGGGTTAAGACATCGCACTCGAGGGGTTAAGACATCGTACTCAAGACGTAAAGATAACGTACTCAAGGGGTTAAGATATCGTACTCAAGGGGTTAAGATATCGTACTCAAGAGGTTAAATAATTTAAGGCTGGTAAAAGAGAAAGGAAGAAAGTCGCCAGTCCAGTCTAACGCCCCTCTCACCTTTAGCTTTTTGTAACCAGTCACTTCCTCTCAGGTGTGGAGGTGGTAACAGGCTTCCACTGCATCTCCAGTGCAGCCACTATCAGGTTTAATGCATTTGATTTATTTATTCAGAGATATTTCCATTATTGTTTTCCGGGGAGACGATTTTGATGACGTATTATCGAGGGATAGGCATTCTAAGCAGTGTTTAGTATAATAACTTCACATTTATCGCTGCCAGAATACCGTAGTAAATCATAGCAATAAACAGGTGTGTGGGGTACTGATAGTTTGGGTTCACACTCAGGATGGGATGGAGAAAGGAAACTCACGATGTGCTCTCTGTTTACATGTTGTATTGGATGTACAATGCAGCTTGGTGCTGGGAAGTGGCAGCGTGGTTACAAGCGTGATGTAGAGAGAGCTGGTTGGTGAGGGTGCTCAGAGGAGGACAGCTTGTGGGTCGCCATGCTCGCCGGCGGGAGCGAGGACCGCCAGGCAGCGGCGGAGGAGGAGGTGTTGCTTGCTGGTTGGTGTAGGTAGAAAGGAGGGTGGTCACCACGAGGTCAGGTCTTAAATAGCGGAGGTAGGCGTGACTTAGTAGTTGACCTCCGTCATGTAAGGCGGCGCTGGTTGACCTAGACCACGAGGCATACACTGGGGAATTCGCGGGGTCGGCTACCCAGCGACAAACAGCGTTTGTAGGGGAGAAATCCACTACAGGTGAACCTCTGCTCTAGGGTAGTGACTTGGGGGTATTGTATTTGCCCTACACTCGTCGTACATGGTAGTTATGTCCTTTCGTCAACCTGTGATGTTAACTTCACTATGGATAACGTGTCACATCTCCTAAACTTAATAGGTATCCACATTGCATCGAACTGAATGGGAGGATTTCATTTTATTTCTGCCGCAGAACAAGTTACTCATCATTCCGAACCATTTTCTTTGTTGTTGGGAAGATGGGTGAAGCGGCCAGTCACCCAGGACGGAGGGGGGGTCACTAGGCGCTGGTCACGACGACAGCGCCACAATCTCTGCCACCACTCCCCAGTCCTCACACATACTATATCATTATGTTGGAGCTGGAGAACTTCTACCTCCCTCACCCTCATTCAATACCATCCACATATCCTTTATTGTCTTAACTTGCAAGGATTGTGATAAAGTGTTGGACTAAACCTAAATTAGGATTTATTTTATTAATATCGGTTAATTTAATATATGAAAATCGACTAAATTTTTACAACAATTAGTTAAAGAGAGATTTTGCCTCCTTTACGCCCATAACACATACGAGAGGAACCGTCCCTGTCGATAGCAGCACAGTGATCGATGTGCAATTTAAACAATATAATAAAACCTTAATATACTTTGTGTTTAACCATTTAGAAGAGAATAAACTAAAGAGATTCGATGGAGTTAATGGTTGATAATGGGAGGTAAGCCAGGTGGTGCTTGCAGTTAACATCTTGAGGAGAGAATGGGAAGTGAAGGACGGTTTAATTCAGAAGTTGATGGTAGGAGAGAAAGGGGAATCCCAAACCGGAGCTGCAAATATGGAGTGTGTGAGGTACAAGACAGGAGGTGGATTGGGCTGGGGTGTGCCATACATGCATGACCGGAAAGCGCTGCGTCGAATGGATTTTGAAGATGAAAGTGGTGCTGGTGTGTGCCTCTTTAGGTAACATACGAAGCAACAGGAGTAAACACGAGGGGTATTTTGGGGCCTTGTTTTGGAAGGGAGAATACCGTGGCAGAACACAGCTGGTACGAGTAGATGGAAGGAATAATTAACAGGGAAAGTGTGTCGCTCTTGGTCCAGTCACTCTGCGCCAAAAGGGGAGAAGACCTGTAACAGTAATAAAAAAATAAGAATGTGTACGTGAAAAAAACCCAAAACAATACATACAGAATAAACATCGAAAATCAAAAGGGAATATCACCATGATATACAAGACGGTTAACCTGGTCCTGAATACATATATAATCTATAGCAGGTTCAAATTCTTGCCTTAGCCTAGAAAAATAGTGGGAAGAAGGGTAGTCTGTACTGGTGACTCTGTTGTCTAGTGTAGGAGCAGAGATGGATCAATATTTCACCTTGGTTGACATCACTTGGTTAACAATACCTATACTATTTAAATCCTGCCTAAATCCTTACTAGACTAACATTCTCTCGTGAGCTTGCGTATTAGTATTCTCGGAGCTCTTGCTGAAACCTGTTACTGGACTCGGCAAACAGCGCCTCACCTTTATAAAAAAAAAGGAATACCTTTATCTCTAGCATGCGGTGTGGGTTTTATTCTTGCCGCTTCATGGCTGAGCCTTTCTCTAGTGACACTCCTTTTTTTATAACCTTGAGGGATCTTTCTCGTTTCATCACATCCTTCAAGTTGAGCACCTGGCACTTAATGGTAAAAATGTAATGTGTGGCCTTGCCTCTATCTGTTATTGGGTGTCCTTTATCCACTCAAAATAATGTGTAGGTGGAGTGCAGCGCTATGAGGTATTTGTCGTGACCTTCATTCCATTGCACGTCAGAAATCTCCTTAAATGCAAAACCGAACAAATTCACTCGTAGACGACACCAACCCTCTCAACGTTCCTTCATTCAAGTGATTCTGTATGATCATTATTCTCTTATATTTGAACTTGTAAATACTGCCATGATAATTCATCCTATAATACCCCTCAAAATTGTCTTCCTAACTGAGGGTAGAATGTGATATTACCTGGAGCTGACGTCTTCCAGGGACGCTGACTTAATCTTTTGGAGATTTATCGCTTACTGACATGTCTTTAGGCACTGTGATAATTAATATTCTCTGTTCACGATACAGTCATAAAACATACACACGTTTTGTTCATTACAAGATTTAATATGTCATAAATTCCCGAGTCCTGAGGAGCACGATGAGTCTCTTACACGACACAGTTGGCTCAGATCTTCATGTGCCACAAAATTTTGCTGAATTTGACTTTACATAATTTCTTGTCCATTTTTTTAAGAACAAATAATTTTAGCTTTGGAATTATTCATATGCGCGTGGGATGTGCGTCTTTTGGTGTGCACTTAGACCATTAATTGAAGTTTGCATTTACTTTTCGTACGCAGCTCTGGCACGCGGGGACTCAGGGGGGATGGAACGTTGACTACGTTGGTGAAAGTTCCCCAGTGTTTTTAATTGTCTCTTTTATGTGGCCCATGTTGTCGCTGCCACACAGCAGGGTGGGGAGGGCGAGGGCCACTAATCGATAATTTAAGTTCCCTACAGTTGAAGATACAGGTACTATACAGTTTGTCAAAGCGCTGAGATGCACATCTGATCCGATGTTGAATCTCTTCATCGATGTCCGCGGTGGTGGACGGTTCAGGCGTGTCTGCGTAGGTGTTCAGGATTTCTTGCGGGTCGCGTTCAGTGTGAGTGATGAAGATGAGATCGTGATGCGTTCTGTGATGGAAGAGGCCG